TTTTTCAAAATTATGATTAAAAAAGAATGTGGATTTCCAATTGGTTTAATCACTTGGACCTTTTGCAATTTTCCCTCCTTGTTTTTTGTATTTCCTTTTAAAGGTGGTACCCATTGGTAATTTATTGCTTATCCGAAAACTCTCCTGTCTTATCAATGAGATAACATCTCGTTTTTTTTAAAGTATGATCTTATTTACTTTTGCTTATTATTTTTTTGGTACCGAATGGGAGGTTGTCACTTTGTATAGTACTTATCTCCTATTGTATTTTATATACTTTCCTCTACTCTCAAGAATTTTGCGGGAAGATCCCAAATGAGGGACCATTTTATATTTATAATTTCATTTTATGTATCAATAAATTGGTCTTCTCGGAGGTCCGGTTTGTGACTTGAAACCCTTTAGGTAATCTCGGTGCTCCCGTGTATACAAGGAATGCGTCATCACACTGTCCGTACGCATGCTTGTCATGCTAAAAACCACCCATTTCCCTGACACAAGGTCTGTGATATGGTTGTGCAATCCTGTAAAGCCCACGTGATAACATGTCTCTTTTCTCGCATTCGTTGCGGGGGACTTTTAAGATCATCTACCAAATTCATTATGACCCTTTAGAACCCATCGATTCCATATTCGCATAACAGTCATTGGATTCCGGCCAATTCGTGTTACTGTATTGCGAAACGATAAACCGCTCTCGCTTGACCACGACCCTGCCACTTTCGAATTTCGACTCATGCAGTCTTTTCTCCTTTTATACAAGACGTAGCACGATCTTAGAAATAACCAACATTAAAATGCCATTTCCAAATGAGCAATTCCCTGCTTAACTTTCCTTTTATACAGGGATGTCTATCCCAGAGTCGTTCGATTGTGCTTAAATGGTAATCATTCGTATTCCCAGCATCTTTTTCAATTCCTACTATTAGTTCACTCTTTCCCTGTTTGTATATATAATATATATAGTTTAATTTTTCAATCGTCATTACAGGGATGCACAACGTAAGGCCCGCGAATGTCTATCATAAAAGAAGAGTAATCTAAAATGGAATTGACCTTTCTTAATGAAACAGGGAAAAATTGTTTACGAAAACAGTATTACAGCAAATAATTGTTGTACAGTTGCTCATTTTTTTCAATTTATTAAGCGGCTTTTCAATATGTTTCATTCATGGCTATCTGCATGTACGAGTTTTCGTATAGGAGAAGCTCGCGGACGTGATCACCGGAAGCCATTAGTTCTTCCATCGCATGGTCTGGATGCAGAGAAGGTCGAAGAACAAATGCGTATTCACGCACTCGTGCCGAACAGTCTCGATTCGAAATTATGCTGATCCGATCAAAAGTGCCTATCGAACTCACGTTTTTCTTCACATGATTGTTATCAATAATAACTTTAACTTCTACTTAGCTGCAACGATCATTCATTTAAATAACCCCGCGGTTTTGCTAGTAGATCGGGAATGTTGAAATCGCTGTCACAGAACGGATCTGATATTCTTTTTTGATTTCACATTTTTGGTCTAGTATCATTTATTTATAAAGCCATATAAAATATTTTAGATAATGAGAGAGAAAAAGGCGATTTTCAAAATCGGAAATTTCAAGATGCATGGACAGCTAAATACTATTTTATATATTACAATGATACTGTCACATGCTTAATATGTAGTTGCAAGAATGCTGTTACAAAAGAGTGCAACGTAAATCGGCTTTATGAAACAAAGCATAAATATTTTACACCTATGAAAGTATATGAACGATCGCAAAAAATCGAACAACTCAAAAAAAACTTTTAGTAGTCAAGCAAATTTTTTTCAAAAATGTGCAGTTAACTTGAGTTTATATGTGAAAGTCAGCTTAGGTGTCGCTGAAATTATCGCTAAGGAAGGTCGGCCATTCACAGACGGTGATTTTTATTAAAAAATGTTTTTTAATTGCATCTGAAAAACTTTGTCTTAAAGCAAAAAAGAAATTTGAAAATATAAACTTAAATAGAATAACTTTTCAAAGAAGAGTTCATCAGTTGAATGATGACATTGAAAATCAAGTAAAATCAGCCGCTTCTAACTTTGTATATTTTTCTTTAGCTGTTGATGAATCTACTGATCGAACATCAGTTAGCCAATTGTTTGTTCCTGGAATTAATAAAAATGTTTGTGTTTCGGTAGAATTTCTTGGAATGCTTCCCATGAAGGGGCAAACAACTGGAAGTGAACTTCTTCCTAGTTTGATACATTTGTGCGGTGCAGCTTCCTTAAATATGAACAATTGTGTTAGCATTACCACAGTTGGAGCAAAATCAATGACTTGCACGGAAATTAGAATGGTTGCGCTGCTAGAAGAACGCCTTGCTCATTTTTTTTTAAATAAATTTATTTGCAAAACTCCTCTTATTCACATTGCATAACATGAGGCTTACAGACGGAAGTGGTAACATTATAAATAATAATATATAAAAAACATAAATAAGAAAAAAAATTAAGGAAAAAAACAATCAAGGGAAAAAAACATGAAAGAGACAAATCTATATTAAAGGAAGGGAGGAAATACACAAATATAAAGAAAGGAAGGTGTCTAAAAAAATTTTAAAATCTATACAGTAAACAAATTTTCTCAAGACATTAAGGCTTTCAGAACAATTGACCAACAAAGACAAAATGGGTGGCCAGGAAATACCTAAGAGTTTCAACTCATTTTTAAAATTTTCTCTTTTACAACAATATAGATTACAATACAACAAGACATGTTCCGCTGTTTCAGTGTCCAGACCACAAGAACAAATATCATTACCAATTAAGTTAAACCTAGATAAATAACTCTTAAAATTACCATGTCCTGTTAGAATCTGGGATAACTTAAAATCAGTAACAAATTTCTTACATTTTAGCCTTTGATAAATGGTCGGAAAAAACTTTTTAGTGCACAAAGCTTTAGGTGAGGCCAAGAAATTGGAGTTCCAGTCGGAATCAGTTCTTTCCCAAGCTAAAGGATTCCAGTGGGACGATGGCACAGAGATCGAAAGGCTCATATCTTGGCAAGTTGCCTCTTTAGCCAACTGGTTCGCTCTATCATTGCCGAGATTTCCACTATGGCCCCGAACATAGGAAAAGTGTATATCACAGTCTTCAAGGTTGTACACAGAATAAATAGACTGAACCTCCACAACAAGTTTTTCTGTGGAATTTATATTGCGCAAAGAATAAAGCGAAGAGAGTGAGTCGGTGCAAATAAGAAAATTGAGAGTATCACCCTGACGGAGAGAGTCCTGAATCACTTTTACGGCAAGATTAATGTAGAGAAGTTCGGCTTGAAAAACAGAGCATTCATCTCTTATTCGATGCTGGAAAGTAGCTTTTTCAAATCCTTCCTCTTAAATAACGCTGGCAAGATCAACTCTTCCATTCAATTTACTCCCATCCGTGAAACAAATACTTTTATAATCTTGAAGGACTTCATTTGAATAAGTTACGTGGTGTAGAACTGTTGCAGCTTCATTGCATTGTTCATCAAGAGAATTTATGTGGTAAAGAATTAGGATTTGCAACCTTAATGCAGTGTGTATATCTGAAGTAATTAACTTTATTCGTAGTAATGCCCTCAAACATAAGCAATTTAAGGAATTTTTAAAAGATTTTAATGAACTGCCTTCTGATATTCTTTATTACACAGAATTTAGATGGTTCAGCCGAGGAATTGCCCTTAAGCGTTTAATGGAACTGTTTGATGAAATTGTCACATTTCTAAGTGACTGCGGTTAGAAGGTTAAAAGAAGCAAGTTCCAGTGTGATTTGACGTTTCTCACAGACATGACAGGCCATTTGAATGACTTAAACACAAGGAAAAGCTACAAGGAAAGAATCAATTCAATTTTCAATTGATGAATAACGTAAAGGCATTGAAACAAATTATGTTTGTTTCAAAACCAGCTGAAAACTAAAAATTTTGCACACTTTTCCTACTACCAAAAAATGCATGAAAAATTTCCACACATGAAGATGCAGTAGGAGGAACAAATTCAAATCTTGCGCAATGTATTTGATGATCGGTTTTTAGATTTTAAAAAGTGTCAAACAAAAATTGATGTATTTTATTCTCTATTTTCTGCTTATATAAATATAGTGGATGGAGAGTATGTAGTTAGCCTTAATTGATTTACAGAACTCTGATGTTATCCAAAATCAATTCAAAGAAAAATCGATGTTAGAATTTTATAAAAACTTACCCGAAGATTTTTCGTGCTTAAAGCAAAATGCAGCTGCATGTGCCACTTTCTTTGACACCACTTACATTTGTAAGCAAACTTTCTCACTAATGAATTTAAACAAATCAAAAATATGAAATAGAAAAGCTGATGAGCACCTTTCTTGTGTTCTACGTATTGCCACAGCAAGTATTTTGTCCAATGTAAAATCAATAACTTCAAATATTCAGTCCCAGCCATCTCATTAAATTTTAACAAATTTTAAGTACTAATTTTTTTTAAAAATTTAAATTGTGTTCTCTGTCTAGGTTAGTAAAACTATTCCTCTGTTATATAATTTCAAGTTTGCCACCTTTTTAGCAGGATTTTTTTTTTTTTAGCTAAAGTAGTTTTATCATTCCGAAAGTGTTTGCGTTTCATCCATTTATCAACTGTATAATGTGTACATGAGTAAAATAAGTAAAGTAATAATTGTGATAAATGCGTATTGTCATAAAACAGTGTTTTCACGATTATAACATATTTGCCATCGCGTAATACTTTGGCTCTCGATATGATCCTAATAAATTTTTTGGCCCCTCATCCTAAAAAGGTTGTGCACCTCTGGTTAATAAAATACTTTATATTCATCCATTCAAGTGCAAATGCATTTTTTTAAAACTTGTAGTGGGTGACACTTGATGTTAATACAGTTTTTTCAAACATTAATTCACTAATTAAATTAAAAAAATGAATAAATAGTAAAAAAAATAATAATAGTCCAACAGCATATATAGAAAGAAAAATCGTTCGTTGTGTCCCTCTAGCGCAATGGATAGCGCTTTGGACTTCTAATCCAAAGGTCGTGGGTTCGAATCCCATCTGGGAGGGCCTAATTTCTGAGAATGTGATTTCTTTTTTACTCTACTATTTTATCAGAATAATTAAATTTAATTAATGGATATAAACAGTTACTAACAAAATAAATATTCCAACACCATATATAGAAAGGAAAATAGAAAATTGCAAGGAAAATCGCTTTCTATTTTGTCACTTAATATTGTGATTCTGTCATATGTATACACATATTTAAAAATTGTGACTATATAATACAAAGTTATTGAAATAAAAATTTTCTTTGTTGTCCTAAATAGGAATTGACTTTTTTTCTTTTCTTCATATGACTTGTTTCCTGCGAATTTCACGTTTGTATTAGCCCTCCTGCATGGTGTTGGAGTTTTAATGGCCAGCAGTGTAAATTAACCGATTAATTTATAAGCAACTAATACGAGTAATTTATGTGTAATTTCATAAATCGCGTTTCAATTTCTAAACGGATTGCTTTGTGTCGATGTCATGTTTTCGTCAAATTTAGCAATGACAGGTTTTTATTTTTTAACTTTCTGTTTTTAAAATTTCTGGACTCAGTTGGACTTTGATAATACGCGATTCAGTTTTATCAGATCGCAAGGTTTTTATTACACGATTTTACTATGATTCCCTTGATTAGCAATCTTTATAAGTTCTTTTGATATCGTTCTAGACGTGACGGTGGCCGCGGTAACCTAGCGGTCAAAGTAACGGACGCGTGATGCACGTTAAATCTCTCAAGGCTCAAACGTCCCCCTTCCCTTTGGTGTGGAAGTTAGGAGAGGGAAGTACCAGCTCAGGTGTCGTTCTCGTCACTTGACCATGGTTCAAAATTACGAGGTCCATCGTCAAAAGCATTCGAGCAGCTGAATAGTGTCACGTTAATATTTACTCACTCACTAGACATTGTGATGTCATAATTCTCATTTATTTTATGAATCCAGGTTAATCTTTTGCTTAGATAACCGGATCCAGATGACTTAATCCACACTCACAGAGGATCAAAGTTTCTATGAAGGCTTAAAGCTGTTGAAAGTTTATTGATGAGAATTTTGAGAAAAGCCAAAACAAAATTGGAAACAAAGCAGTTATTACATGATTTGTTTGGGGTGTTTTCAACAATTTATAAGAATCAGTCAGTAGTAGGGACAAGAAAATAGGGAAATAATGTGGGAGAGAGATACCAACACACGTTAATATTCTATCACACATTCTATGTTCTTCTAAGCAGCAGAGATCTCAAATCAGGGAATGGTGAATAAGATCTGCCATACAAGAAATTAAGGAGAAACAAAGTACCATTAAAAACAATCATCTGTAGAAAATTGGTTATAAACACGATTTTCTTTAAATATTTTAATTAAAAGTATTACTTAATTTTTCTTTCTTACTAACAGAAATTTCACTGAAAATGGAAATTTTTATTATTGCTTCAGCTTATATTGAATGCTGCAACTCACTGTTTAATAGCTCTTAACACTGAATGCTATGTGTGAATGGAATAAATTTGTTATTTTTAAGGTTTATTTATAACATAAAAACCACTTTTGTGATTCAGTTTTTATTGTGAAATTTCTCAGAGTAATAAACCTTTTTTACAAATTTCAATGAAGACAAAATTTTTTTTAACTAATCCAAAATAGTCCCTTTGAGTTCAAAATAAGAAAAAAATAAAAGAATTAAGAATTTTTTTCCCAATTTTTTTCTTATTTTGTGTGAAATTAAAAGACATTTTTTTATTTCTCCAGAAAAAATGTGAAGATTGTGGATATGTGTTTTGCTCTGAATGTGCAACTTCAAAAGGCAAGCTTTATCAATGTTACCGATGCAAAGTACTTACATGTGTGCCTTTAAATGGGTGCGATGTCGCCAACCTTAAACTCAGAGACTTACAATGGTTTTTGGACAAAAAAGGCATAGATGTACCCTCAAATGATCGCAGAGAAAAACCAGTCTTAGTTGACTGGGTTATGAATTATTCACGTCAGACATCAGCTCAACAGACTTTATCTCCAAACTATCAACCAATTTATCCATCTCTCCACCCAGAAGAAAGAATTGGAGGACTATTTGGAACTGAAGCAGCATCTGCTGCTGTAAGTTTAATTATGATATTTTATAAAAAAAATTATGCATATTAAAATTGGTGCTTTGACACTGCGAGTGCTATTGTTGTGTAAGAGATTAATAGTATTTCTTATTTAAGTATAAACATAGAAGAAAACATTTTTGTGCAATTGTGTTGAAAAAACATGTATTAAAATATGTGATCAATATTTAATTTGCCATCAAGTATACTTTAACACTAGATTAACCAAGGAAGTCATTTTGACTGCTTTTTAATATTAATTAGAAAAAAAATTATGTATATAATAATACAATTCTTTAAAATTATGTGACTTTTTCTACAACATATAATGCATTTTTCAATAAATGTAGTTGTCTTTTTCCTCCTTTATTTTGTGGTTTATATATTAGTTATACCTATGTTGCCCCAAAGCAGTCATTTTGACTGCTTGGGAAATTTAAAATAATCAAATGACTCTTATTATTAAATTGAGTAAAATTCTTATATGACCAGTTTGGCTCTGTGGTTAGGTTAGGTGGAAGTTATTTTGATGTTAGCATTACAACTTTGTCTCTTTCTCTATACCTTACTGCCTTATCCCTCCTACTTTTCTTCATACTAGCATCAGAAACTTAATCTTGTAAATGGTTCCATTGCTCAATAAAGTAAAGCAGTACTTGTTATTCCTATCTTTATGGAGTGATATTTTTTCTATCAAGTTTCTTATATTTTATATCATTTGAGCCCTAAATTTATGAAAAGAATGTCGAAAGTGTTTTTGCAGAAGATGTACACATGAAAGGATTTCCACATTTATTTGCATTAATGTGCAAATAATAATGCATAATTTTTTTTTACCAAGTGAAGTACATTTTTTTTAATTCTTAATATTTACTAACTAGTATTTACTAATAACCTGCTTTATAACTGTAATTATTAATATAAAAAATATTAAAAACAAATTTTAAATAAATTTCTTTACACATTAGTAATTATTTCACAATGCTGTCATTTTGACTGCTTTTGGGCAATATAGGTACATTCAAAGTCGCAGTCTTTTTAGTATTAAACATATCTTTGAGGAAGTAGAATTTGAATAATAATTTTAGACATTTTTACATAGAGCTTATAACATATAAATTTTTAAATATTCTCATATTAATGTGAATAAATTGTGAAGCATTTGGAATGCAGTATCTAGAATTGAGAATATTGTTTTTATTCTGTTATGATTTCAAAGGCTCCTTGACGTGTAAAATGATCTCTTTAGATGGATTTTTTTCTTGAATTTGTCAACAAAATTATTAAATGTTATGTTTGCAGAGTAGTGGAATTTGGGCATGCCATTAGTACATATTATGCAATAGTTACATTATGCTTCCAAAATGTAAACTTGAATGTCATATTTTCTATTGTTTTTTTAAAAATTATTTTATGCATTTAAGGGATAAGAATTTATATTTAATTTATACTTTTTCAATCTTCGCATATCGCAATCCATGCAGGATAGCAAAGTTTTCCAATCATACTGTAACCACATATTCAGAGAAATTTTTTGTGCCACGAATTTTCTTTTTTATTCTAGTTAATTTTTTGGGGCTTTTAAAAAAATTCTCTAAAAAAATGGAATGTAATGCTATATAACAAGTTGTAAGAATAATTTTACAGAGTTGTGGTTTAAAGTAAATATCTTCAGTTCCTATTCATGCCTTCTTTGTTAACGTTTCCCGTAACACAGTGCCAGTTAAAAACAAAAACAATTGTGCTAATGCCTCATGATTTTGATCATTCAATTTTTATACCATTTTTTAAAATAAACCCACTAATGGGTTTACACAGTTTGGTAATTACCAAATAATGAATTTGCCATCCAATTATTTTGAGATGAAGGAATTGTTCATGAGACATTGTTCCTCAAATCCCCAATGATGTTGAATTTTGATTGTGTTATATGAAAACTTGGTCTTTTACTTAAGACCAAGTTTTCATTCAACCTTTGCTGTGTGATGTAGCAGAACTATAGGAAAAGATTACAAGTGCTGTCAGTAACATTGATAGTACCATGTTGAGTAGATTGGGGCAGGAATTGGACTATTGCACTGATGTATGCTGGGAAACTTGAACTGTTTTAATATTTTTTCAAATGTTCTTTTTTGCTGTAATTGTCTTAATTTTTTACTATAGTGCTATGAAACCCCAACGGGAATTATGAATAACCCTGTACATGTATGTATGTGTGTAGTAATAAATCAAAGGAACAATGGAAATTATATATATTTGTATAAATGTGTATTTGTCTACAAATGAGTGAATATGTATAGGAATGTAGGCATATATATGTAAATGCATGTACATGTACACTGGTTTCAAAAAATTAATGTGCAACACATTTTGAAATTCACCATTTAAAATAATGGAAGCAATAATATAATTCATAGTTCATATGAATGATTATAGTGAACTGTAGAGGAACTTGTGCAATATATAAACCATAGCTACTACTATTATTTTAAAGAAATGGATACACGTAGACAGGAGTAGTACAAGAGATGTACAAAAAACATACTTTAACAACTTCATACATGCATTTTGTGCATAACTCTTGATCCTCAAAAGTTAGGAATTTTGTCAGTATTCTGAAGTCTAACAATGTTTGAGAGAAGTCGCTTACCCAATTCTTTAAGGGGATCAATTGGATGGATGAAAAAGTGTTGTCATAAGTTGATTCTGCTAGGGATCTCAATGTGTGTCACAATGTGACCCAACTGCGATCAATTTAAATCTGTAGATTCTTTATCTATAAGAAATGTTCCAGATCAACCGGAATTTATATCTTGGCAGGAGATTGTTTTCTAGATCCTTTGGCCCAGAGTTGGAGAAGCACTACTGTGCCTCAGCTTGTTTCACATCATTTTATTGCATCATAAATAAGAGTTACATTACTCCAATGCAAAAA